ACACTCTAATATCTACTTTGCTCTTTGAAGAAGAAAAAACGATTTTAAAAAGTAGATCCAAATAGTCTGCCTCTTATGCTTCTAAAATTTTGGTGCATGTATACATGGGCGGATCTAGCAGGCCAACATAGACTCTCTCACACAAATTTAAAAAATATCTTAATTTTTTATTAAGATATTTTTTGTGTGATGTAGTGAATAATATTTTTTGTGTTTTTTCACTCCGTATATGGCTGTGGTATCACACTATCACGGTACTTTTTGTGTGATGTAGTGAATAATATTTTACTGTTTTTTCACTCCAGGGAGGGGCCTGGAGGGCATGGAGTAACCAGGACTGAAATTCACTCCATTGAGATTTAAACCCTTATGTGTCTAGCGGGTTTCAAACTCGAGACCTCTCACTAGGCACGGTAAACTCACGATCAGCTCGGCTGGAATGTTTGGTTAATACTTCCTCCGGTCCTTAATTAACTTTACACTTTCCTTTCTGGGCTGTCACATATTAAACTTTACACTTCCTTATTTGCATTATTTGCCGGGCCGGCCATTGGGGGTAGGCACCTAGGCAGTGGCCTAGGGCACCACTCCCAAGGGGGGCATCATTCTCCTGTCCAACAGGTTTTGGTCCGAACTCCGTCTGAACAACGCCTTTCGGGGCGGTTCCCAGTGGGATTTTTTGACGAAATTTATATGGTATGTTCTTCATCAAGTCTAGTTTATTCACAAACAATTTCAGCTCAAAATTCGATCGGGAAGGCCGTCAAATAATTTTTGGAAATTAACTGCACAAAATTTAACATAGAAAAATGCAGTCAACTTCCAAAAATTATTTGACGACCTTCGGGATCGAGTTTTGAGCTGAATTTTTTTGTGAATAAACTACACTTGATGCATAACATACTATAAAAATTTCATCGAAAAATTCCACCGGGAACCGCCCCGAACGGCGGTGTTCGGAAGGCGCCTCAGGTTAGAACTTTCGGACCTGAGAATTTTCCTATATATATAGAATAAACTGGCCCAATAAGAATTACTGATCATGATGATTACCTCGTTGATAAAAAACGGAGTTTTAGTGACAAACACTAAACCCGGTGCTTGCAAATGGTGAAAAAGTGTTATGTACTCTTGATTGTGGTGATGTACTTACAAATTTTGCACATCAAAAAGCAAGAAAATATGTTATTAGGTAGTACTTTTATTATTTTATTTATTTCTTTGAAGAATTTATATTTTCACATACTTTACATCAATTTTAAATCAGGTATTTCTTTTTACATTCAATAAAAAATGATGTTATAATCTTGTAATTACTTCATATTTAATTATGTTATTAATTTGAAGTACAATTTGATACCATTAGTTATTTTTTGTCTGGGCACCAAAATTTCTGGAGACGGCCCTGATTATTTGACAAACAAATCTACACCAAACAATGTCAAACAGTGTACTCTACAGTAAAGTCAAATTTATTTTCTTAATATGTATGAAGTCAAAGTGTAAACTTCATTAAGGACAAGAAGTATTTTAGTTTATGCACTCCATTTATTCTCGGAATTGTAATGGTATCACGCCCTAATCACAGACAATAAAATATACGATGTAAATAAAAAAGAATATGGCAGAAGAAAAGAGAAGATTCGCAACGATGGAAGCTTTTCATTGTTTCAATTGTCAATGTTGAATCAAACGGAAAAAAGGGAATCGAAATTCAAATGATAAGAATTTATTCCCACTTTTTAGATTTTATAGTGTCAATTTCATAGTCTGCCGTATCTTTGGCTAATCTCAGTTTTGGTATTGGTAGATGGATTATTGTTGGGGTTATACGCTTAATAATATTACTAAATTGAAGAGAATTTTAAAACATATGAGTACTTTCCAAAATTGACAAAAAATGATTATCAAGTTCATATATTTGAAATTGGAAAATATGATGTCACTGGAAAAGAATTATCCCTCTGTTTCTAAAAGAAACTCACACTTTCCTTTTTGAGATGTTTCAAAAACAAAGTCACACTTCCCTTATTTCCTTATTTGGCAAAGAAATCTACATCCAAACAGTGCCAAACAGTGCGAAACAGTGTCAACAGTGTCCAAACAGTGCCAAACAGCGTCTAAACAGTGTTTTCTACAGTAAAGTCAATTTATTTCTTTAATAATCGTGAAGTCAAACTGCGACTTTCTCTTGGAAACGGAGGGAGTATGTTATTGCATTCGTTATTTCATGTCACTAAGAGCAGTCATCGTCATTTTTTTCACGCCAATTACACTGTCACCGGTGACACCACCATGGTGACACAGCCACCGGTAACATCGCCATAATGACACCACCATAGTGACACTCTGCCATAATGACACCACCATAGTGACACTCTGGCACCGTGACTCCGTCCAACCCCGCCATCATGACCACCATCGCTGGTCATCATAGCCAGCCACCCGCCCCCCAAGCCCGCTGTCGTCGGTCCCCAACCGTAGCCCCAACCTTCAACCTACCACCACCATCGTAACCCTCGCCGCCAGTCCACTGACCGCCGCCACCCCACACTTGCGCCCTCCCCTACCCCAGCCCCCTCCCAACGGCCAGCCACTTCTTCAACCACCCGCTCCCAACTCTAGCCCTCTCCTAACCGTCACCTAGAATGCCTTGGATTTAAAATTTGTGAACTCTGACCGCCTGAGCATAGGTAAATCCGTGTCGGCTCGCCGTCTCCGTCACCATCAGTCGCCTAACTGCCAAACCCTAGCCGCGTTTCGCTAGCTACCTCAATCGTCATTTTCCCCAGCCAACACGAATCGGACGGATTCTTCGATCGATTCACAAGAAAGAAATAAGAAGAAGAAGATAGAGGCGAATAAGATGAACTTGTGATAGTGAATCAGACGGAGGCGGCGGTGATTTCGATTTTGGGTTGGCGGAGGCGATGGGACATGTTGACGGAAAATTGGAGGGAGAGAGGGCTGGGGCAGCGATGATGGCAGAGTGATGTTTCAATGGCAACAAGTGTAAGAGATGGCGGAGGCGGCGTGTCATGGTGTGGGGGTGGTGGGGGTGGGGATGGAGGGGAGAGAGAAGATGGCGGGGGAGAGAGGAGATGCAGCGGAGAGAATAGACGCAGGGGAGAGAGGACTTGCGCGCTTGAAGAGGAAAAGACGGGCAAAGTATCACTTTTTTGTCCAGATCTATTCTAGTTACATTTTTGTCCATTTAAAGCTCACGAGTAATATTGTTGCCATTCTTTCATTATTGTTTCTTATAAATTTATATGTAGTACTTCCGCTTACACATATAAATTTAGAGTCTCACTTTCGTTTTCAAAATGTTCTTAAATTAAAATATCACTTCCTTATTTGATAAACAAAGCTATATCAAACAGTGCCAACAAATGTAAAACACTGTCCAACAGTGTCAAACAACGTATACAGTAAAATTTATCTCTCAATAAATTTATTTCCTTTATATGTGTGAAGTAAGATCAAAACTTTAGTTAAGAGACGCAGGTAGTATTATACGGAGTAGATGGTATATTATCATTTATTTATATTTAACTTAGTCAATTACAATATTCTAATTTAGAGTATAAATTTTTTTATCAAAAATAATGCTTCAAAAGTAGGTAAAAGTAATTAGGAAGAACTATCAAATAAGCCTTCGAGCTTACATAAAAAGTGCAAATAAGCCCTTTTGTAGGGGGCTCTGTCCGGCCATCGTCATTTGGGATGGTTCCCAGTGACATTTTTTGATGAACTTTTTTGAGTATCTTCTTCATTAAGTCTATTTTACTCATACCAAATTTCAGCTAGAAATTCAACCTAGAAGGCAATCAAATGATTTTCTGAAATATACTGCGTTGTTTAAGTGCACAGTCATCTTCAAAAATTCATTTGAGTGCCTTTTCGGTTGAAGTTCTAGCTGAAATTTGGTATGGGTAAACTAGACTTAATGAATAAGATGTTAAAAAAATTTCATTAAAAAATTCCACAGAGAACCGTCCCAAATGGCGACGGCCGGACAAAACCTCTTATAAAAGGACTTATTTGCACTTTTTATGTAAGTTCGAGGGCTTATTTGATAGTTCTCCCAAGTAATTATTCCTTCCTTTTTCATCCTAAAACAAACTTCAATTTCTAATAATTATATGAAAAAGAGAAATTAGTTCAATTAATAATAAGGTAGCTTCTAGGGTATCCATTTTTTAATTGTGTACCCTAATAATAATTCTCTCCCGGTCCTTTATAAGTTTGTCAACTTTCATTTTTTTTTTGTTCTAAAAATTTCGTCACTTTCTCTTTTAACCAGTCAATTTGTGTCTCTATTTTTTTACTCTCCTCTGTATAAATTTCTATCGCAAACTTTTGAAGTGGGAGAGTATATAGAAATACTACATCTGTCTCATAAAATAGTACTCATTTCAATTTGGATCGGAGTTTAAGAAAGTGAGAATAAAATGGAAATGTATGATTGTGATTGAGTAAGAAAAAGTAAATGAATATTAGCCACACAAAATTTTCCCAAAAGAAAAGAGAATAATTTTTTGGGACGACCTAAAAAGAAAATGAGAACTATTTTATGGAACGAAGGAAGTAAATAATACTCCCTCCGTCCCACAATGAACTTCACAGTTTGACCTACACACATATTAAGGAAATAAACTTACCATGGGGTAAATTTTACTGTTTTGACACTGTTTCGACACTGTTTGACACCGTTTTGCATTGTTTCGACACTGTTTGACACTGTTTTGCACTGTTTGACACTATTTTGATGTAGATTAACTTGACATTTAAGGAAATGAGAACTTGTTTCTGAAACATTCAAAAAAGAAAAGTTGGAAGTTCGTCACGGGAGGAAAGGAGCAGGAAAGAAGAAAGAAGATGAGAAAAATAGAGAAGCATTTCATAGATGGTCAAAGGCTCGAAAAGTTTGTGAATGAATGAATGACAAAAAGCTGGATATTAACATGTGAACCCCCTTACCCCCACCCCCACCCAGGCGGCCAGGCCCCACTTCAGGATTTGAGTTGTACCATGTGATCACTATTATTCTGTTCGCCGGCCGCTAATCTCTTCTTCCCGGTTTTCTTGAGGCGGTGCTTCTTCCGCCGCCACGGGTTCCGTCGCTCCACCGCTCTCAGGCACCACCGTCCGCGGCGTCGGCTCGATCCTGCCGTCGATGCAAGACGCACATTTGGCCTCAAACCAGCTCTCGAAGTCGTACCGCCCGCGACCCATTACTCGCCGGCCGGAACACAGCCTGCCGATCATGACAGCTATTACCCCCAGAACGGCTACCAGCGCAAGAACACCAACTACTGGTCCGACTGACCCGCGGCCCGCACGGCTCCTGTAAGCTTCTTGCTCCATCACCGTCGGCGGCGGCTGCTGCAGAGGATCCCCTGCCGCCGTGTTCGACATTCCCAGGTTATGGAAGTTTCAGATGCTCGAATGGCCCAGATGATCTCTGATTGTGTCTTCTTCACGCTTGATTAAATAACAAAAAGATACCCAATTTCTGGAGATTACATATACAGCAGTAAAGTTTGATTCTTTGAATGCAAAAGCATGAAGTGCTTTAACTATTTAGGGAAAGAAGAAGTGATTAGACGCATTTAACAAGATCAGCCATTCTTATTTGCTTTTTCTGATTAATCTTTGATCCAACTCATACATGGGGCTCGAGACATGGAAGTGGAATGAGAAGTTGCAGGAAGGCTGCAAAAGATGGATGTAAAAGGCGGTGATGGAGGATGGGGAAGAAGAAAAAGAATTTAAGGGTATGTTTGTTGTGTGAGTGGGCAAAGCCTAAGACAGAGAGATGGGGCACAAATACTGTAGAGCAGTAGTGGTACTAAGGTACTACTACTTCAGTGGTGCGAGTTCTCAGTGTAGAGTTTTTTTTGATAATCCGGTCGTTGAGTCTACGCTCCCATAATCCTGAAATCTATGAATTACCTTCCAAAGTCCCTAGATACTTAAACTCGGATCTGATCACAGTCAGCTTCATCACTACTGGTTCCAAAGGACGAATCCAGCAGGACTTACATCACCTTTCAGGCTGCTCCTCCCACCACACGAACCCGCTACCTCCATTACCATCCTCTCCCTCCTCAGCCGCTGAGCAACTCCGTGAAGGTAGGAAGAATCATTGAAAGAAAGACCTCCATCATCTCCCCTTGATGGGAATTGAACCCAAGACCTCTCACAAAGGAGAGACTTGGAGGTGAATGGTCATCCAATGGACTACACCCACCTTCCTAGAGTTTTTCCTTTCTAACCGAGACTTTAATGCTTCTCCATTTATATACTTCATGCCTCCTAAAACTTTGACAAAATTGTTCACAACCATAAGCTACCACAACTCCACAAGTATGTTGAAGTTTGTATCGAAGAAATGCAAATAATTTAAATCACAGATTAATTATTATTAAGGTACAACTAGAAGAGAGCAAAAGTTTTCTATGCGTTTGTGCGGCCTTTCCCTCACGTAGGGTGTAGTTTTCCGTCAGTCGTTCTACACTTGTGTGGCCAGAGAATTTCAACCTCGCGCATCGTGTAGGCTTTGTTTTTGTTAGCAGGTTCGTCTTCAACTGCTCAACATGGCAAGGAGAAATCATGAAACCCATTGTTAACCAGTACAGAACTTAGCTACACAGCGGCTTCTCCTACACTTTCGATTGCTCACTGGCAAAGAATGTTATGAATAAAGAGAAACGAGAGGAAGAAGATGCAGTATTGACAGTCCGTCCCCCTCTCGAACCGCCACCGTGGAGGAACCTTGTGGTTAGGGTTTGGAAGATGTTGTTTCAAGTTTGGATTTATTTTAATTATCTTGCTCTTATTTTTATTTTTAGGTTCCAACTGAATGTTATTTTGGTTGTTTTCTTTATTTCCACTAGCATAACTCTAGAGTTTAGGTTGGGTGATGAAAGGTCTATTGCGTCCGTCATTGGCTCAGTTAAGCCCATTGTAGGATCAACGAGTCAGATTGCTTTTGTGGAGATGATACACTCCAAGTCTGGTTCGATGACACACAGTTGGAAAGAGACTTTTTGTCTTTTTGTATTTTGACAGAATTCTGATTATTCAATATAAGTCACTTTGTTCCAAATAGAAAAGTTACAACTAGAACAAGAGTCTCTATAGTTATTTACGTTCAATTTGGTAGGGAGGGTATAAGGCCTATTGAATTGGACGACCGATAAGGGGCTACGATAAGGGATCCTCTCTGTTCGTGTTTATTTATATTGGTCGCTCAGCCTGACTGCTCTTATTCTTAAGGCGGAAAACAGGGGTGAGATACACGAAGTTTTGTGAAATTAAAAATATTTTCCAACAATTTGAAAATGGATATGGTCAGGTGATTAATCTAAATAAATCTAGTATTTCGTTTAGTTTTAATGTTGGAGAGGTAGATAAGACTCAGTTTTGTGAATATATGGGAGTCCGAAAGAAAGGACAACACACTCATTATTAAATTTAAGCCTATATTATTAAATAATACTCCTAACGTTTAATGACTTAACGTATGTGGGAGTAAAATCAATCCCAACGTTAAGTATTAGAACGTTAGTTTTACATGCAAATATTTTACCTGAACAACGTACGTTGTTTGCATGTATATATATGTGTGCTTGGCTAGCCACATGGATATAGATAATTTTGGAGTTAAAACATCCCCTAATATTTTCACTCTACTGGATTAATATAATTTTTACTCTCGTTGTTCTGTTACCGGCTTACGCCGAAGAGCTCATTTTATCTTGGGAAAAGGTTTTCGTTAATCGGAAATACTTTCTTGAGGACAGCGTTTACGCGACTCGAGCTATATTATTTTTCTAACGCTTTTTTGCAGGTTTATCCGACAAACATACACAAACAATAATAACATATTTTATGTAAAAAATATTAGATTTACAAAATCTGTTTGTTTGATACCTAGGTGTTGATATAATCTCATATTTTTGTGTTGTATTACTTGTATATCTATCATCCGCCATAAACAACCAACATTTATCTGAAACGTACATAGGGCGACACATTGACTCTTTCTCCTTTTATGTACTTCATGCCGCTTTTCAAATTTTAACAAACTTGTTCAGAACCATAAACTATCACATGTAGTGTTGGATTCGGTTCGGGCCACCCGGCACGTGATCCGGTCCGGCCCGCTACTGTGCGGGCCCGGGACCGGCCCATTCTGGCGGTTCGGGACCGGGTGTAGATCCGAACCAGTGGGAATGGGCGGGGCGGACACGGTTCCGGAATAATGTGACCCGGCCCGGCCGGGTCGGGCCCGGGTCCGCGTCCAACGGTCCTATTTTTTTTTAATTTTTGTTGTTGTTAAATAGTTACTAGCCGTTATGGCCTTGTGGGGTGGGCTGGGGACAACCCAAACGGCTATATAGCCGTTGGGTGGGGTGCAGGGGGGGTCCGGGGGGGTTGGGTGGTAAAAAAACCTATAAATACTCCTAAATCCTAAACATTTTTTCATATCTCTTCTCCAATTCTTCCTAAATCCTATTCTTAACTCTCTACTCTCTAATTCTCTTATTCTCCAATATATTATATTTATTATTTATGTATCTACTTTATACTTCATCTTCATCTATTGTAGGATTATTATATCTACCATTTTTAACTTTTTAAGATGGAAAATCAAGATGCCGTTATACGGTATAATTTTGATAAGCGGAAGGACCCGAAGACCGGGATGTGGTACGCAACATGCAAATGGTGCGGGAAAAAATGTAGCATGGGGGTTTCAGGCGGATACGGGATGACAATGAAACATATGAAGTCATGTGACAAAGCCAAAGGATCGGGAGGTGCGGGAAGTTCCGATTGATTACAATTTACAAAATGTTTGTCTCTTGAAGTTTGTTTTAATTTTCAAATGTAGTTCCTATTTCATTTCAAATAAATGCACTTGAAGTTTGTTTTTAATACTTGTATAAAACTATAAACTATAAAATATAAATTATATAAAAAAAATTCTTTAACCGGCCCGGCCCGACCCGGCGGGTGGCCTGACCCGTGACCCGGGCGGGGTGGCCCGGCCCGAACCGGACCCGTCCAACCCTCGGGCCGGTCCCGGGCCCATGTCATACATTCCGGCGGCCCGACCGGGCCTAGGCCCGGCCCGGGCCCGACCCGGACCCGAGTCCATCCCTAATCACATGTGTCGTTGAAGTTTATATAGAAGAATATGAATAATATGAACCAAACATTAGTTACTTTTAGGATAAAAATGATGATATATTATGATTAAGCTAGTAAAAAGTGAAACGTTGGCAAGATTGTTTTTCTAGCCTATATATGATCATTATCAATTAGTTGATTTAGTCCATAGGCAAAGTATGTGTGTGCTAAGAAATAAGTGAAGTTTACATTAACTCGTTTGATTTTTTATTAAAACCATAAAAAGGAAAAAATGAATTTTGTATTTTTTTAACATCAAAATGTGTATTTTTTAGTTTCAATGATTATCTAGAAAAAACAAGAAAAAACGGTTCTTATAATAAATTAATTAAAGTTTTATTAAATCAATATATAAAAATATACAGATTGTATTTTATTAACGGTGCTGTAATACTGAGAAAAATGGTATTGAAGGAATCTAAACATTATGTTCATATTAGAGAATTCATATTTAAGTTTTTAGATGGCACAGAAATGTGAATGGTCCTAGAGTAATTAACCCAATATGTATCTATTGCTCCTGGCTAAGGGAACAAAGGGGATGACACTCCATCCCTAAGAGTCCCCGGAATCGACCAAACAGTTATAAGGATATAAGTTGAGATTTGATCACAATACGATGAAAAGACGATTAATTCCAAAGTTACCTATAAATAAGAAAATGTAAATCAAGACATCAAAGGTGAAGCCAAAAATATGAATAGATAGAAACTTTTGTATACATAATTTTTAAAAGAAAACCTTTGATTAGATTGTTAAAGAATCAAAGAAAAATTGGATTCGATTCAAAAGAAAGAATATGTTCAGTCTTTGTATGGCTGAGACGGTGACAGAGATAATGCAATTCGCCACTGCCCAACCCTTTTGGAAGATCTGTACAAGTAAAAACAAAGATGGCCCATGCAGGTTTTGAACCTGCGACCTTCGCGTTATTAGCACGACGCTCTAACCAACTGAGCTAATAGGCCGGATGTTGAACACTCTCGTTTCTCTGTATTAGTATTTGAAACCTACCCCATTTCTCCTAACTGTCGGCAAGTGAGACGAACTTGGATATTTGTACGTAATGTAATTGTCTTAGTTATTGGAATGACCTTGTTAATTATTATAGGTATTAAACAATATTGCTCTCGGTGCATTACTTTGGAAACATAGTTTTTTTTTATTTTATTATTTTTATTATCTGTTTTACCTCAGGGGGAGTCTGGGGGAGGGGGTCTGTAGTAATCAGGACTGAAACTCACTTTATTGAGTTTCAAACCCGAGACCTCCTGTAAGGGAGAGTGAGTCAGTGACCAGCTGGGCTGGACCGCTTCCTCTTGAAAACATAGTTTTTGTAAATAAATTTATATTAAAAAAAGGTTTTGTAAAAAAAATTGAAGAGCCATCAGCCATATATGACTTCTCTATGAGGGTGCGGAACCAGGATTTAGTTGTATGGGTCAAAAAGAAACACAAACAATAAAGAGAAAATTCACTAATTAAATTTAATATAAAAATAAAGTTCATAAATGCTATTATCATTGTTTTATTCTCAAAATATGACTAATTCATTGTTATTCTCAAATTATTTTTTAATAGGACTAAGTAAAATCTATTTGAGGAAAAAATATATTTTTTCATATTTTAATCATATATATGGAATCATTTCATGAGAAATGATCCTGTCAAAACTACCTGACATGATCTGTTGTCCGACCGCCTATGTTTGAGGTGTTTACGGGTTGATTTTTTTGATGAAATTTTTTGAGAATGTTTTTCATGATGTTTAGATTACTTTCACCAAATTTTAATTTAAAATTCAATCGAGAAGTCAATTAAATAAATTGTTGAAAAACACTGCGCCAAAATACACATAAAAACACAGTGTTTTTCCAAAATTTATTTAGTTGACTCCCTTGTTGAATTTTAATTTGAAATCTAGTGTACATAATCTACACTTCATGAAAAACATGATTATAGAATTTAATAAAAACATTCTATCCGAAAGCATCTCAAATAGAGGCTTCCTATAAGGCAACTCTATAAATTCATATAGACTACGTGAGCATCACCCAGGGCCGTAGATGGGGCTATACGAAAAGTGTCTTTGCATAGCGCTTCCAAAAATATAAGACCCAATTTTGGTAAATTCTATATAGTGTGTGTGTGCACGCACGCGCGTGTGTATGGATCTCCTTAGGCGATTCACATGGGAACCGCCATCCGACCAAAGCCACTTGGGACCATTCCCAAGGGAATATTTTGGTAAAATTTTATGAGCATGTTTTTTTTTATTAAAAGTGTAGATTATTTTCACAATATTTCAGCTTAAAATTCGATCAGGAAGTCAGTTAAATAAATTATTGAAACATATTAAGCTATATGTATATTAACCGACTTCCCCATTGAAATTAATCTGAAATTTTGTAGACATAAACTACACATCATGAAAAAAAATGCTAAATACATTTCATCAAAAAAATACACGACGAAGGACCCCAATTCAGCAAATTGGCTTTTGAACGACTTATCGGTTTCGCTTTCTCGACTTTTCACATTCAGTAAAAATTATTAGGGTTATTTTCTGTATAATGATTTTTGAAAATAGTTGATTACTTGATTTGTTCGAACGATCCAACTATTTAGGTCATCCAACCAAAGGTAAAACATTAACTTTTACGGATTTTATTGTTCAAGTTAAATAATCGGATCATCGCTATTGAGTCATGGTGGACGTGTAGTATTTAGGCATGAAGGCATTGTATATACCTTCCCATGTTGTGTAGCTTGCCGGAGCTTGCTCTAGGAATCATCCTCTTGCTGCTCCTTTGAGAGTATATGGGAAGCATTTGAGTTTGAGTTGATCCTCCGCCAAGCCATTTCTAGGGATTCCTTGAATGAATCTGTAGAATTCGGTGATGAAGTTGAGTGGATTTTCCCCTAGTGAACCATGAAACTGAGGCATAGCGTTGAAGTAGCTTTGCCTTAGCTCATAGTCCCTTGCTTCTTCGCTCAATGTGATGCACGATGGCATAGCGGCCACCACGGGTCTTTTCCTCTCATTCAATGTTGGCATCATCTTTATTTCTTTTATTTCCCTATGGTTGTGTTTGAAAGTTCTTTCTATTTCCAGATCAATAGGTTCAAGATATTTAGAACCTTGACTTCTCAAATGCATTCAAACACAAAGGATAGGCTACACACACAAAAATAAATCCTTCCAAGATCAAGTGAAGTTGGGAAGAATAAATTCAGGATTTTAGGGTGATTGATTTTTTTTCTTTTTCTTTGTACTTTATTAAACAAGACCGTTTCCCCGGCAACGACACCAAAAACTTGACCGGGCTAAACTTGCAAGTGTACAAGTGCCGATATAGTAATAAATTCCAGTAAAATACCGGGTTGAATCCACAAGGAAACGTTGTTTAATTTAGTCCGAGAGTGGATGACTTTAAATAAAATAGATGAGTAAAGTGTAGGGATTTTGATTTGTGTTTATATTTTTGGCTTTTCACTTTTTGTTCAAGAAGATAATCGTTAACTAACTTTGAGTTTAAGATGAATGATAGCAACAATTAAGGCTTCGGGAATCACTTAAATGCTTTAATAGGGTTGAATATTAGTTCTTTCCCAATAATTATGAATACGATGTCGCTAATATATTCTCAACTCCGGTTAAGGCAACGAGAGCGTGGTTTTCGTTACGTGTAAGTCCCGTTACAGCTTACATTCATCTACCGAAAACCCTGTTGAATATCAAGACATCACACCCGTATCATATAAGACCAGATATATTTCTATTCTCGGTACTATATATGTTTATCCTTTAATGTTCATAGTTTAGAATTCAATGTTAATTGCAAGTATAAACTAAATTTAACATACTTCTATGTTGTACACCATAGTGATAAACAATCAATATATAAAGGATAAATCACAATTTATTGGTTTAGAACTTTTATCAAAGCCCTAATGGGCATAGAAGTTCATCCCTAGCCTTAGCTAAAAAATTAGCCTCTTGAGCTCATATTAATTACAAAAGGGTAACTAAGAACAAGTAAATACAATAACATACAAGAAAAATAACCTAGTTCCAATTGTAGAGGAGAGAAATGGCTTCTTCTCCAATAGAACTTGAAGAAAAATAGCAAGAACAAATATAAAAACTAGGAATTAATCTATGCAATGGAATGTTTTTGTTTGATGAATTGAGGGTTTTATATAGGCTAAAGAATGACATCTTTTAGTCTATTCTAATCCAACAATCAGGTATGGAAGCAATATTTGATTAACATTGAGGAAGATGGAGTTTTCCCATCAAGAATAAGCTTGCACGTCGTTGTGTTTTAGCAGAAAATCGACCCAACCGGCGCCGGTTGGTCAGATGACCGGCCCCGGTTGAAAACATGCTCATTTATGCAAGAAAAAACGTTCTGACCGGATCCGGTTCAAGACTGACCGACGCCCAAAAAATGTACTTCATTTCTCTTTCTCCGCAAATGGATAAAAAAGTGTAGGTTTTTGTACCGGTATTTTGGGGATGTTCCGCTACGAATTTGGACATGATTCCTTCACCAAAGTTGTAGATAATGAAGTCGTCTATCCAACAAAACTTGAATGATGTGTTTTTAGGCATCCAATCAAACGTTATGAACAAAACACTGAGAGATATGCATCCTGAAATCCCACCAGCAACATCTGACTTTATTTGTTGATCGAGTCTTGTTCCTTTCATATTCTGGCCATGACGTCTTCATAACATTTGTACCTTATTGAGTTAGAATTCACATGGAATTTGAATCGAGTGATTTCGTGTTCTATACAATAAGTTATACTCGAATTATGGGCAGAACGTCATGCTCTTGGTCCAAAAAGCTCTTCATCGCAATGGTTTATGCTCTAACTCTCATTCTCAAGATATTTTCCCAATTTCTCTTCTTTTCTTCAACAAATACTTATAAATATTTATGTTAAACACAAGTAAATATAACAGCGATCAAATACTGACAAAACTACTCTGTCTAGTATTTACTCTATTCATCTGCAAGAAGAATCTCAAAGATCTCTTCAGAATTCTATTTCTTTCACCACTTCCTTTTCAGAGTCTTCTGCATCTGAAAAACTTAATACTGATGCTACTGCTTTCTTTGTTAAAAACTCAAAAAAGAAAAATTCCATTACTTGCAATCACTGTGGCTATCAAGACCACTCATCTGAAAAGTGTTTTCATCTCATTGGTTATCCTAGTAACTGGAAAGGGCCAAAAGGACAAAGTCTTGCTCCTGGTTATACACCTAATCCCAATTTAACAAAAAATCATCATGCCAACTTGGCTACCAATTCTACTGAACCTGTTCTAAATCCTACCAATACAAATTACACTGAACCCGCTTCCACTTCTTTCAACTCCATGTCTCCTACCACTGACTTCTGTGATCCCAGTCTCTATGAGAAGTTTCTGCAGTTTATTCAAACTCAACAACCTAAAACTGCTTCTGCCAATGTTGTCATCATTGCTCCTGATGATGATGATCCAACTGACTCTCACTATGTCACAAAGTTTCTAGGTAAACATTTTGCTCTCTCAACTATTAAATCATCTTAATGGATTCTTGACACTGGAGCATCTGACCATATGGTTTATGATGCCTCCTTATAGACAACTCCAACTAAACACATTTCAATCAATATTCAACTTCCCATTGGTAATTTTATTTCTGCTACTAAAATTGGTGATATAAAATTGAATTTTTATCTTACTTTACACAATGTTTTATATGTTCCCAATTTCACTTTTAATCTCATTTCTATTTCTAGTTTAACTTCTCATGATAATATCTCAGTTTATTTCTCTTCTAACCATGCTATATTGCAGGACCACCTTACCAACAAAATGATTGGCTTTGCTGATTTAAGGAATATCCTTTATCACTACAACCGTGATTCCTCTTTAACTCCTATTTCTACTGTGCATTCAGCACATAATCAGCATAATAGTTCTTCTGCTACTCTTTGGCATTTTAGACTAGGGCATTTGCCATTCAATAAGATTTTCACGCTTTCTGATTGTAATGTTTCTACTGATGACAAACAGTCTTTTCCTTGTGACAAACAATATTCTCTCTTCAATTTACATGAGGTTTCACACTCATTGATTTGGGGGTGGATGTAATTCAACAGGTTGGTGGGAAGCCACACTAAGGATAGACTCAGGTTCAACTCCGTACTAATGTACCATTATACTAGGGGCACCAAGGCCCTGTAACCACCAGATGCAAATCTATACACTATTTGAATCTCGGATTGTGATTATAGTTCAATTTAACGTTTGAGATAATCCAAGAATGTCCGGGAAAAAACACTAAAGACTTCTCGATCAGCACTGTACGTAGCTGTAGAATTGAATAATCCAAGAATGTCCGGGAAAAAACATATTATTAGCCACAAAATATGCGCTAATGCGTGACAAAAAAAGGATGTCACTTTTTTCTATAAGTCTCCTTTAATTTCTATAGGAGCTATCAAAACTGATCAGACGAAGAAAACAATAATGCACTCTGTATCTAAACAGTGATTAAATGCATGGCACAGTGGATGGAGCAGTGGGGGTGAGTGGCTTTCCTCTTCCCATGGTGAAGCCTCTGGTTCCGTCCGGCATTCTGGGTCCCTTGTTTGCTAGTTTAGCCGGCGATTCACTGCTGCACGGCGGAGACAAAGGCAGAAGGCCGCGACCGCTTCCGCCACCGCCGTGAGTCAGCACGCGCGGCCTGGTTTTCCCTCGTCCCTTTCCCCATCCTTTCTTTGAGTTGGCTGCTGATGATGAGCTCTCCTCCGTCTGCCCCACCCAGCAACATAAGAGTAATAATTATTGTAAGAAGATATATACACGCACATACTGGAAAATACTGGCATTAAAGGGTTCAAGTCAAAATAAAGAATGATGGGTAATAGGTTAGATATAGGAAAATGTTATTTTTGTTCAAAAATATTACAGTACCTCCGTTCCCATTTTAACTTCCAAATGAGTTTGGCACAAAGTTTAAGATAGTGGATATTGTGTGGTGGAGAGTTGTGCAGAGGAGAGAGAAATGTGTAAGAAATGTTGTGAATCACAAATTTTTTACCAAAAAGGGGAAGTGAAAGTTTTAATTGGAACGGACGAAAAAGGAAAGTTGGAAGTTTATTTAGGAACGGAGGGAGTAGTATCTCAAAGTCAATTTATTTTACCCCTCCTTCTCTATTGTGTGGCTCAAATGAGACAACTCATTGAAGTTAAACAATTCATTTAAATGGTGGTCTCATTTGAACCACACAATGAATGGGGTAAAATGTAGTACTTCATTTTAAGGTACACCCGGCACAACTCATTTATGTTAGAGAATCACACCTTTATGGAGTATAAACTATAAAGTGGTAGGGATGTGTTTGTGGGGATTGGGAAAGATAGGGGGAAGGAGCACAAATGTACCATTAGTTGTACATCTTTTCGTTTACATCAAATTGAAGTGTCTATATATTGACAATTCGTTTAAAAATACATAAGTTGTCTATATATAGACATTTTGTATAGATAGAAAAAGTGTGCGAATTGTGTACACCAAGAATTTTTGGTACATATATATATAACGATGAGATGTTTTCAGTAGTGTGGTCTGATTTGAACATGTTTTGAGTGATCACTTTAACCACGATCTTGTTTACATAAGATTCGTGTGTTCATTTTATTACTTACATTAGCGTCGGGTGATTCTGATTGATTTAGTAGAGATGAATCTTCTGTTGTGTCATGGGGTGAACCTTGATCATCATCTTCCAAGCAACCTTCAAATTCCGATTTCCTGCTCTTTAACACAGATCTTGGCTGCACATCAAACAAGGTTCAACCTATTGGTAGTACGAACTAGGTATGTCTTATAATTAAATTTAAACAAAGAAATAAAATAACACATCTTTACACATCATTTGTTGCCCAATTTGACTAAACACCTATATTTTAATAAAATGAAATGTATGAATTTTTATTTAGAAAATAGAATGCTACAATTAGCTCATATTGCTTTCCCTAAAGAGAATAAAAAACAACTTTGGAGGAGGCAGAAAATGCAATAAGGTGTCACACCCTACTTATTTTCATGACAAGATAGGAGTGAATTATGATTAAGAGACCGTTTGATAACACTGTTTTTCGACTTATCAATCAACTTTTTCACCAAACACGTACCTTTTGTTTTCGCGCGCTGAAATGTGTGATAATAAGAAAAAGTAAGGTTGAAGTTACTTTTCTGGCTGTATTGGCTAAAGTTACTGTAGATGATCATTTTAGCTATATTAATAAAATGTATTTTAAAAATAATTTTTTCTTAAATCAGTAGAATCAGCCAATGCAGGTTATGCAGCCACTTCAACCAGAACTTTATAAATTTCAGCAGAATAAGTCGAATCAGCCGATTTTCGTGTTATCAAACGGGCTCTAAATTGGTTTTGTGCATTGGTTTAAGATGCTTTACCGAGCGCCTAAGAAGGAGCTTTACACGCAACCCTTTTCTCCAGTTCCTCTCATCATTCAACTTCTCAGCCTGATTTGATCCAAATCAGTGAACAATTATAAAAAGACTACTACTAGGTGAAATTTTTAACCTTAATTTTAGGGGACTTATTATTGAGAATAAACTTACAGCTTTCTCTGCTATTTCAGGGCTCTCAAACTCTACCAGAGCGTGCAACTTAGTTTTCGAAGAACATGCAATAAGGACAAAATTATTTGTTACTTTTTTTTTTAACCCGGTAGGCAATTATTTGTTACTTTCATAGTCAACATTTTACCTTTGAATTTACAGGATTTCTTACCTTGTTGCTAATAAAATATTCTCCTTTGGAACGAGATGAATTTGGGTCCTGAGGATGACAAATTCTGATGGTTTTCACACTGTAAAAACACGATAGAGTACTTAATTAATATGCACATAATTTTACTTTACGTAATTAACTGTAAAAACATGATATAGTACTTAATTTCACTCTGTAATAACTCTATGTAACCCGCCAATTCAATCTGAAGTCGTACCAGGTGACTGAAATCAATATCAATTACCCACTAATTTAACACTAAACCGAACTGCTTAACGACAATGATATTTAAGCAATATGTATGCTAGGGGTTGGCATATTGGTTTGGTTTAACCGAATCGAAGTGTACCAAACCGAACTAAACAGAACTGAAACCGAATCATATGTAAATCGAAATGAATTGAAACCGATAAAAAACGAATTAAAAAAATTCAATAAAACCTTCATATATTATTAAAAAATAATAAATCCAAATCGAATCAAGCCGAACCTTAATCAAATCGAATCAAACCGGAAAATAGTACTTCGTATGGTTTTTGTTTGGTAATATTTCTTCCAACTCGTTCCAAAACCGAACTGAACTGAAACCGATAAAAACTGAACCGAAACCCGATATGCCACCCCTTATTATGTAATGTAGTCAAACCATTTGAAGGACACAATATGCAATTTCAAATATTCACTATGATGCTAATAATATCATTCATTCAATAGGAAGATCTCACCTTCCAACCACATTGAATATCCTTTCAATGTTGTGGTGGGAATGGTCATCTGGTAAATTCTCAGCCACAACCGTGCGAGACTGTCATAAACCAAATAAGAATAAAGATATTAGAATTTGAGGGGAAAAACTAAACATAACCAATTAGTTAAATAGGAGAAAAATGTTTGAGGTACACAAAATGTGTATGTACACATGTCTGTCCTTCACAGAAATTTTGTCTGTCACAAACAATTCAAAAATGAATTGTGGTTGTACCTCTAGCAAAACTCTAAATAGGATTGTGGTTTTTTCTCATAAAAATTAATTTTATCCATTTCACTCCAAAACAAGAAACCTTTATATCACTTTTACGAATGAACAAGTCATATTTAGAGCCCGTTTGGTGACCCTTTTTTCGGCTTATCAGGCTTATCAGCCAGCTTTTTCATCAAACACGTAACTTTTGATTTCACGCGCTGAATTGTGTAATAAGCAAAGTAAGGTTTGAGTTAGTTTTCTGGATGTATTGACTGAAGTTAATGTAGATGATCATTTTAGCTATTTTTTCATATAATTTTTTATTTTATTTATTAATAACAAATATTTTAAATATAATTTTTTCAAGAATCAGCAGAATCAGCCAATACAGCCACTTCAGCCAGAACTTCATAAATTTCAGCAGAATCAAGCAATTCAGCCAATTTTAGTGTTACCAAACGGGCTCTTAATGCAAGCTGTGTTGTTAATTTCTTTGAAAAGATGATGAAAGTTATAGATGGAAGAAAAAAAAAGAAAAGGAAGAGCAACAACCTGCAGCTCCTCTTTGTCCTTCTCCGTAAAGGGATTTCTCCGTTTGACCTTCTTCCCATCACTGCTTACGATCTTGATCACCAAAATCCGTACTTATATTCAAACACATATATGTATATTGGATCATATAAATTGTTCATAATATGAAAATGAAGATGAAATTGAAATAACACTAACCAGTTTTGTTGAAGATTGTAGAGCTTGAGCTAGAACTTCATTACTGCTACAACTACTAAGAAGAGATTTGATTTTCTTTGTTGATGCAACAGAACTTATTAGAACTGTTACAATACATACAAAACCCAGAAAAAATATTTGTTAGTTAAAAATTGGTCAACTATCATTTGTGGCATAGGCAATTAAGAGTCCAAATTAGACTCATATGACATTTAATAAAAACTTCAATCATTGGTGGCATAGCCAATTAAAAGTCCAAATTAGACCGGTTGGTACAAAGATTTTTTTAAAAAAATTAGCATAAATAATTTTACACTTATTCAAACGTTTTCTATGCCCCTGCATATGCCTATGCCCATGTCTATCATCCTATTGTAATGTCTCAAGCATATACTTTACCAATTTTATTATCTAGCTTGTGTCTCAAAAAGAAATGGGTTGCAAGGAAAACCTGATAAATTAGAGAGTAAAGATAGTGTACATAATAGGTTGTTAATGATACAAAATAAAACATAAATGAAATGTCTCATGTCAATCATCATCATTCATCATTATCACCCAGTGTCGCAAAGGCTCCCACCTACAGTGAGGTAAGGAGGTCGGATGTACGCAGTCTTACCCCTGCACTAAAGCACATAGAGACCGATTCTGAATGAATCATAGTGAAAATCGCGTCGAAAAATACATGTCTGGTGTGATAGAGAAAAATCTTAAAATTACTCTCTTCCCATTAAAATTGCACAAAAGAAAGGACACTTGTATACAAAAAGTTGAATATGCAATTGATGTTTCATAGTAATTAAAGATGCTCTTAGAAACCATAAATAAGTTTCATGCATGGTAAATAATGTTTACACTTTGTAAAGTATTGGTATGAGTTGGGCCTTACTTTTTTTAAGCGTGTATATATCTATCCAATAAAATCTTCTAGCACATTAATATACTCCGTAATTATATTTACATTTAGCCCATAATACAAAATTCCTGACTAGATATGGCACAGCATAATAGGGAGAATTACAAATCTACTCCAATCCTTTATACAGATCCAGCCAAATGGGGTGACATAAATACGTATATAATCCTTACCATAACCTTCGGGATCTTTGCTCATTTGTTTCGCCAAATTTTCATTTGCCAGAAGGCTCATGTCACTTAGCTGGTATTCCACCTATTGCATGAATGTATACAATCAAGCACACAGCACAGCTATGAACATGTAGTATAAAACTGACCTATGAAGGATCAAATGCATAAATGGTATCTTAAGTGGTATTATTGTGTTTTGAATTTTTGATGCCTTAACCCTTAATGAATCAAATCAATCATAACTATACATAAATGTTTCAATTGAAAATATTGTTCAAATTTGTGGTCAAATAATCTTACGTGGTGATCAAAATTTCATGTGTAGAGTCCATCATTTATTGATGACACGAACAAAAGTGAGATGAAGTGGACTTTACGCACTGAATTTGGATTCCACGCATGAATATTTTGCTAGAAATTTGAGTAATATTGTCAGCTGAAACATTAATGTACAATTATGATACTGATTTGATTCATTTGAAAGTTGAGTCACCAAAGCGCAACAATACCAATAGTTAAGGTAACATTTATACCTTTAACTCGGCCTATGAACTATTTTTTCCAATTAGTCAAATTAGACACAATTTGTATTATGACGGAATGCGTTTCAATATATGATGATGGAATATGATGGACGGATTGGAATTATTATGTCTTGTTTTTATGTTTTGGTTTAATACAAACACCAAAAAGTACGAGTTTTGGCATATGTTAATCGCAGATTTGGATGTTTTATTTTGTTTTAGAGAAAATCGCACTTTTAATCCTTCAAATAATACACATATCGAAATGTAGAACTCGTGTTTCAAGTTCTTAAATGTAATCTTTGAATAGTGACATTTACAATGTGGACTAGGACCACATTTACATGAATAAAGACAATTGAAATGTCACATTTACACAATTGGGAACACACAGATTACATTTCAATATTGACAAGGGATTGGAAATGTGATTAAATGTGATTTCCCTTTGTTTTAATTAGAATGCATTTTATTTATATTGAGTATGTCTTTAATTGATTGGAATTGTCTTATCTCCTCTGATATAGATGTTTGTTGAATATGTATTTTATAACTTTGAAGTTTTATTTAGTTTAAATGAAAGCCAAAGAATTAAGAGCACCTGTTTGATAATCTTATGTTTAACTTCATCAGGAACAGAACTCTTATGAGATTGAGATGCGGCGAGAGTGAGATTTGCGTTGTACAATGGCGATGAAGAATCTTGGTCGCCCACATAAATCCAATCCGGATACTGCAAATACGGATAAAAATAACCCGAAAGAGGCACTTGAGGGAGCGGTCGGGTCGGCACGAACTCCGGTGCCTGGACATTGAATTTGAAATTCGTGGCCGCCGCCGCCGCCGCACCACTGCTCGTACCGCCCGACTTGTTCTGGCCCTCGACGGCGGTTCCGGCCACTACATCACGCGGCCTTTCTTGGACATCTGCGGCGGCAGAGACGTCTTTCTCACGAAAAAGCTGTGCCATTGGATTTTTGTTGTTTTAATTAATCTTCAGATAAAATCTGACTGCATGCTAAGTGTGGGTATGTATATATTAATTGTGTTTTCCCTTTTCTGATCGTTTTTTTTTTCATTTCTGATCCCTTTTCTTTCTTAATTGATAAGAGGATCTTTTGGCGGAGCGGAGAAGATGGGTGGGAATTGTGAACCACATGAAGCTAAAGGAACCGCATTTTTGACGGTTGCTTTTGGAGGGCTTAGCTTTTGACCAAATCTTTTCATTTTTTAAGGTTTGAAGAACCATCCATTCCTTGATTCTTGACATGTTTCTTGCTACAAAGTCAAGCAACAAACTCTTATTTTCTGATTTTTGCGTTGAACATTTGTGATATGGAGTATCTGGCTTTGCATAGCAGTTTTAGCTGATATATTTAGACCTCACACACTATTTTTTGAAATTGTTAATTTACCTTCTTTGAGTATAAAATCATTTGATCGCTCTGCTCTCCATTATGGCATTATATTTCTTCAAAGTTTTTGGGCCAAAGAATACATACGGTAATGATTTTGAAAATATGATGCAAAGTTCAATAATGCCCAATAATGAGGTACAAAGTAGAATTATCTTTTTATATATATTACTCGAGTTCCATTTTATTGTTCAATGAAACTTGAAATGTAACTTCTAAATACGTAGTATATAAATATTAGGGGAGTTTGTTAAATATTACTTAAATTAAACTTATGGATTTGTTTCAAAAATATTAGGGGAGTACTAAATTTTTTTATTTATTCAAATATGACTAATAGTTAGTACAATCTAGTGTCATGGTAACTTAAGTTTAAAAGTTGAACATAAGTTACTATGATTTCATTACTACTCTAATTACTAGTCACATTTTTGTAATCTTTATTTTAGTTATAAATATGTGATTATTTCTTAAAAATATGGTCGTGAGAGCGCGACAGATATATTGCTTACAGTGTAGGGTGCCCCCAATCAAATATAGTCATGTAGGTTGAACTATTATTTCACAACTTACACATTTGTTTACATATAGTCAATTATGATGTTTTTACTTTGACTAATTTCAATCTCAGACAAACCAGAATAAATTAGATCAAATTTAAACAAACAAGACAAGACTAAACTTAAATAGATCATATCAGACCAAATCAAGCTTAACCAGATAAGAAGATTTCAATCCAATTAAAAATATCCTTACTCAATATTAACGCCACAAAAACTACTCCCTCTGTTCTCTAATAACTTCCCTCTTAGGGTTTTAACGGTTTTGAAGAAGAAAATAATAGGGGTAATATAGAGAGTGTAGAGTAAATGAAAAAGTAGGAAATAAAGTATATTGAGAAGAGAAAAGTGATGAAAAAGTAAGAAAGATAAAGTGTTTGTAAAAAGTAAAAAGGGTAAGAGTAATAAAAGTGAGAGTACAACGGTAGTTTAATAGGAAAAAATTACTAAAAGGGGAAAGAGACGAGTAATATAAATATTCGAAAAAAGAATACGAGACAGTTACTATAGAGTGGAGGGAGACATGATTTGTATAAATTTATTCAAGAAACAATTACATACATATGACTAAAATAAAGGTATTTTACAAAAATAGGACTAGTGACTAGAGTAGTTGTTGGGATATTGACCCGGAGGCCCAATACCCGGATTAAAGGCCCAGGACATGCAGCCCAAACAACGAGACCACTACCCTATGATAAGTAGGCCCAATGAGATATTCATACCGAACGAGGTTCGGGCCAAGTAAAGGCTGGCCCAGAAAACAGACATACCGAACGGGGTTCGGGTCATATATCATACTTGGGCCAAATCAACAATGTTTTACATAGGGCGCATTATCCCGTTCGGGCAACGGACAACCAGCAGGTGGCCAGGTGCAATTAATGCCAGATTGTGACATCATCAAGTGGAGGCATGTGTGATCAAGTCGGTGGAACATCGGCCAATCAGCATAAAGCGTCACATACTCTCCATTAGTATAAATAGAAGGTTTAATATCATTGTAAGGGTGAACATTTTAATAATCAAGCCCTAGAATAGCTTTATTACTCTTGTTTCTTGTATTAAGCATCAATCCGACATACCGTTCGGGTAATTTCCTTGTAATCAAACAGGTCAATTAATACAAGTGGGGTTTTGAGCATTCGATTATCGATCTTTTATATTTCTTTTACATACCGAATTATTATCCATCTCCTGATATATCCAAAGTCTGTGTTGGGCTTTCGGATCTACGGGATTAAACCTCAACGGTAGTAATGGAATCATAGGAACTTATGTTCATTTTTTAAACTTAAGTAACTATGAAATTACATTGTAGTGACTATTAGTCATATTTGTGTAAATAAGTTTTATTTTAGTAATATCTTTTTAGAACAAAAAAACCTTTATTCAAGTCAGGGTTCTATTGAATTAATTTCATTGTCACTAGTTTATTTAGAGTTTAAAATGCCAAATTGCATTAACTAAATTTTAATTGTATACCTAAATTATTCATATTCACTATAAAACATAATTTTAAGTTTATTACATTTGCCTAACAATATTAATTATAAGTTTATATTTATGTCATACCTAAATTATTTTTTATTCAAAATTTGCTTTCTCATAAATTTGTCCAATATTTGATAAGTTGGGGACTAAAAGTCTAAAACAGCCGGTATTTGGAGCGAGGATATGTCTAAATCGCAAAAGAAAACTTGTGTAATGATGAGTCATTTTCACAATGAAGCTCATTGGGTGTCGGGATGGGGAAGTCCCGGATATCATCTCACGGGACGGTGTATATGAAAATTTAAATGTGCAATCAATCTTGTAATCCAACACGTAAGCTAGCCAAATCGAAGTATATTTGGTTTAAGAGAATGACTAAATTGCAATGAAAATAGAAACGATTAAACTCGAAGGGAAGCGGGAGCATGCAAGGAACAACCTATGATTAAGAGTAAGGGGTTAAAATGGGGACACTTGGGAACACATCATGTAACAAAGGGATAGGTACAAGTTCTCTTGCCACTCTCATGGTCAACCGGGGCCTAAGAACTCCTATTGGTGATTCACATGGTCCAATAGCAATCCAAAGTCATGCAAAGAGGAACAACCAATTATTTTTTTCACCTATCTTCCCCCATTCACTACACCAAATAATACCATCCATAGCAGTTGAAAAACGCTATGATTTTATAGTATAGCGTTTTGCAAAACGCTATATCAGGACATGCTATAGTAAGTTTTAAGCTTTCAATAGCGGTTTTCAAACGCTATGGAATGTAAATGAAACATAGCGTTTTTTTGTGCTATCAAAGCTAGACCGCCACATTTAAACCTTCTACTTTATATAACACTCGAAAACGCTATAAATAGCTCAGACCAACTCAAATAAACGCTATCAAAGCTTAGTAATTAAACAGAAGAAATATGATTATAAACGTATTACATATTAATACCATTCGCTAGTGTTTAGACCATAAATATCTTTGACCTAAATTTTAGAACCAACAAAATAAGAAACATTTATTGAAATGTAGAAAATGATAAAAGACAAACATCATTAATTCATTGTACTTGGTGCCAAAAACATCTTTCAAATGGATAATACAATATCTCAAAGTACTGAGACTAAATATAATATGCAAAAACGATAACAAGTAACTTCATTTCATTAAATATGTCTTGATTGGTAGATCATCCGTCTTCTTCAACGTACTATGCCAATTGTCCCTGAAAAATGCAATGACGATGAGATCACATACTCATTTTTACACAACAGATGAAGGCATCAAGCAAAACCTTATGCTTATTTTTATGCAATAGAAGAAAAAACAGAACCTAAAAACAAATAGAATAAATAAATACTTATGTCTAGGATCAAACATTAGCTCGCTCATAATATAATATAAAAAATGTGTATAGACTAAATCAATTCACCCTTACTTTAAAAATTAACTTTCTGCCACATTTATTTATAATTCATTATAAAATCATAAAATATACTATATATACTTACCAGCTGCATTTTAAAGCATAATGACTTTATCAGATGGCCAAGCTATTGTTGTACCAACAGCATCTTCAATATATTCCAACTCAGATGTTGGCCTCCAAAGAAACGCAGTCGGGATCCTAGGTATATCAACCCAAACTCTCATAGCATTAGGACCCAAAGGAACAAAATGTACAAGCTCATTCGGATCACTTGAAGACCAATGTCCTTCAGCAACAATGCTACTTGAACCTCCAATATCTAACAATTTGCACTTCTTCATTGAATTTGTTTACACTCTAGCAACCACAAGTTTTTTACCATGTTAGGATTTCTATTAAACTCAGTGCAAACAAATATAAAGTTCTGATTTTTGTAATATAAAGGGAGTACCTTTGCAGATGATGATTTAGGAGACTCATCATTACTCGGAGGATTTCCTAATACTATCCTATCACTAGGCCATGCAATTTTAGATCCAATAACATCTTTGATTGATGTCATCTCTAGTGTAGGTCTCCACAAAAAAGATTCAGGTCTTACTATGTCATCAACCCAAACAATCATGGCTTTTGGTCCTAGTGGAATATCGTTCACAAGCATTTTTGGATCACTAGATACCTACCGACCATGAGCAACAATTTCATCTTCTCCGGTCCAATTTAAGA